CTTTGCTCATGCCAGAACTAAAATGTGGAAAGGGGCAAGGCACTCTTACACTTCAGATACCAGGTAGCCCCATGCCGCACCTCACTCTGTGTGTTACAAAACACCCTTTGGTGTGTTTTTACCAGTATAATGTATCTCTTCAGAGGCTGTATTTCCTAAGCTTACTGATACTGTAGTAATGTTATCCCAGATTCTTTCTACAGGTTACTCACTGAAACAATATACCTTTTCTTTCTCAGGAAATGAGACACAGGAATAGCTACCAGGCTTTTCTGTTACTAGATACCATAGAATTTTTTATATATATATATATATCTCAGGTGACTCATTAACCCAATAGCTTGTTATTGGGCTATAGACACACTTTCAGCATGTGTCAGTGTTCCACGTATTGCTTTTGTGCAAGTAGCTTAGGTATAAACAATGGGGAGAGGGGCACAGGGGACAATCAACTGTCATCACCCACACAGTTAAGACGTCCTTGATACATAATTTAACATGATGTGAGATATTTTGCCTCTCTGATCTAATTCCAGCTCAGTAAACGGCACTCACGTGGGAAATTTTCACTGTTGTAATTTCTCTGCTAAATATTGACTGCAGGCAGAAAGCAGAGCTCGCTCAGCTTGGGACAGCAGACTGTCTAAAATAAAGTGTCCCACATCTCCCAAGCTGGTCACGTAATCCTTTTTGAGGACTCCACATTAGTCCTGAGCTAAGCAACTGAGGCACTCCTATATCAAGGAAGATTATACCACAATATCAGTGTGAATCTCCACTGCCAGAGCCAAGCAGCAAACGTACCTTTGACCTTAACGTTCAATAATGACAGGCCATTTGAAAAGCTAAGGAATTTACAGCCCTTTCTGGTCCCTGAAAGAGAAGACAACAGCTCCGCATGCAGCAGTTTACACACTAAAAACCTTTCAGCTTGAGGTATGTCTGCACCTGAATCTCACTGCAGGTTTGTTATGTTCATGTTAAAAGGCCCACACCAACAATCTTCCAAACCATAGGCGACAAGAGTCTGCCACGGTACACGCACTATAGGACTATTCTGAAGTGGTTGCCCTTTTGCCTTGTGCTCTTTGGCCATGAATCACATTGTTATTTTGAATTAAGTGCTCTGAACTTCCGGCTGCTGTCTCATGAGTTTTTGCTCCTCTGGTGTGTTTTGTTTTGCTTCTTTCTGCTATACAGGGGGCTTCTGACCAGCCTGGGGTGAAATTCTGGGGCTTGGGATTGAAAGGGAAGGTTTCTCCTTCCTTGTTATCTCATTTTTGTCACATCCATCAACGCCACAATCAACAGCTCACAAGAAAGTGCTTGTGGTTCTCATTACAACATGCCATATATGTAAAGAGATGTATATTCAGCTCATATGATGAAGTCAGCCAGGGCAAGATGGATACTGGAGGAGATAGGAGAAAGATGGTTCTCTTGTGCTCTTTTCTTGGAGCAGTTTTATTTCAGAGTTAGCTTTACTACCACTGATATTCCTCCAGGTGTGGGTGGCTGTCAGAGACGGGTAAAAAGGAGGATGTCACAGCCCACTTTGGCACTGGTTTTACAGCTTCAGCAATGGCATACCTGTATGACAGCTCTGTTTGGGATGACCACGAGCCCTGCATGACAGCCCACTCCACCATCAGCCCTGCAGAAAAGAGTATTTCTGCAGAGTACTGCAAGACTTGACAGAGCCTCGTGGCCGCTTCAGTAACATTAACACGGGCTGTCTACAGATCCAGAATAGTTAGGACTATTCAGGACTACTCTCTGCAAGAGATATCTATTCCTTTAGCCGTTCTGGGGGATCCAGTTTACCTTCCCTTGGATGGCAGAAAGTTTGTGCCAGGCGTTATCTCGAGTAGCAGCAGAATGACAGTGGAATGTGCCTTTGGAAGGCTGCAGACAGATGGAAACGCTTTACGTTGCAGCTGGTGGCCGAGGAACTTTCACCCCTCTTAGTAACTGTCCGCTGTGTTTTACAAAACCTTTGCAAGGTAGGCTGTATGTCAGAAATAGCTGACAACTCCTCACCTGTTCCACATAAATAGCCAATATGTATTTGCTTTTCATGATTTTTCTGCCTTTGTTTCATCTCTGAGGTTGGTTCTCTGCTATGGAACCTGCCTGAAACGGCATTCAAAATTTTGGTTGGCATCAAATTACCAACCTCAAAACACATCATTTAATATTGAAATTAAATAGTAGAACGACTCAATTTGCTTTCTATCACTTCGTCTTGAAGCAGGTCTCCAAACAAGCAAGTATCCCAGGCCAGATTATCAGATGATCTAAACTGGTATGTGGAAGGGTACAGCAGTGGAAAATCTGGCCCTGTATTGAAATCCTGAAGTGTTGTAGGACACAGTGCTCTGTCTTGGCACATTGACATGGAAATTCAACTGTAAAGAAAATTTGTATTTCCTGACCTGTGAAATATGTTGATTCTTCAAGGACAGTAGTCACAGCTCTAGATTTGCTGCTTGATTTCCTTCTCTAACTCAGTTTTTGCTTCTGAAATAAAGCTGAGTAGTGAAGCCTGATGCTATTTTCTTTCTACTCTCCTAGGAGCCTAAGATATTTTCTTGTTTTCATTATGGAGTGAACTCACTCAAGCACACACCCTTTATCCCAGTCTAGTATCTTGCCCAGGGGTCTTCCCCCACCATACACGTGTACACCATGCTTAAAATTGTTGGCCATCATTGCATGAGGAAGTCTACTTGAAGATGTTTGAAAACAGTTACAAGTGGCAATATAGAAAGGGCTAATAAAATTAATTCAGTACTGAGGAGAGGGGGAGGGCTTCCATTTCACAGTATTCAGAGGGAAATGGATCTGTATAGACGTACTTCCATCTCACAGGACTCAAATGTTATTGACAATTTCAATGCCAGAGCAACAGAAATGGCAAGAAATACCTATGTTATAGGTGGCAGAAAACTATGCCAATATTCAGTGTGACCTACCTCAGTGTTAAATTGTACATTTGAACAAACCGTGGGAAATCGTGGGGAAAAAAAAATCCTTATGCATATCCAAGCACGCATACCTCTGATAAGAACTGTGACCTGCATTTATTCTCATAGCAGCATTCAAAAGTCTACATCCCAACTCAAGCAATATTAAAGAGAGTTGGTGTAAATAGTTCATGAATTTTACCTAAACAGCTTCCTTCCATAGGGAAGGATGTTGATGGGAACTATCACCAGCTGAAAAAATTGCCATGAAACAGGTGTGCCCTTCTGACGGCTAGAAAGCCTTTACAAGCAGAATAAACGTGACATGTCCAAACTCACAGTAGCTGCATGCAGACCTAAACCTCTCCCTGCAACAAAACCGATCCCCAGTTGTTCTTTTAGGCATGACAGTGGGATGTTACGTTTTTCCATCCCCATCCGTGGCGCTCTGGGGAGGAAGAAGGAAGACAACGAGCTGGCGTCTCTTAGTGAGCAATCAGCGCACAGACAGGGAGCTGCCTACTTTCACATCTCTTCCAACTGCAGCTGAGGTTCCACCACAGATCCTTAGGGCAGACCACCCATCTTCTGTCCCTTCTCTCTGACACTCCTGGTAATAAATCCTACCCTGGGTTCAGACTTAGTTTGTGATTCCCTGGAATCCCCGGATCTGCCTCTGTGATGCAGCTGCCTGTTCACACCCTCACTTTGTGTCGGCGAATTTGATTTTACATCCTCGGTGTCTCTAGCCTTCCTGAGTAATCCAAGGATCCTCAGCACACTGAGGACGTGCTCTGGCAAAGACAAATGTAGTAAAATAAAAAGGTGAATTTCAAATCCACTGTCATTTTGTTCAATTTCGTTCACAAAGGGCAGCTGTGACTCGAGTTCGGACCTCTTTGACGCCAGAGGTATCTACCTCTAGGCTTTTTGCCTTTCTCCACTTAAACCTCTCCATCCAAGAACAGTAAACATCCCCATGCGTGATCTGTAAGGCACCAACACACTAAAGAAAGTACAGAGTGAAGGCTCTGACTGTGCCATATAGAAACATATCTTTCTGTATGATTTCCTCTTAGACTGTCCCATATGACACTGGTAAAGTATCACATGCCCCGGGGAACAAGTTCATTTAAGAAATATGGGTCAATTATGTAGACTACTATTAATATTTAATATATTGAGTATGTTATGATATATTTATAAGGACTCAGTCAAAGTCTGTAATGATGCATACCATGAATACGTAATGTAGTGGCCATTTTATGCTACAAATACAGTTAATCCAATTTGACAATATAAAGAGAGTTTCAGGAATCTGGAGTTTAAAAAATATTAATTGAGTAAAACATGGCAGACTGATTCGATTAATTTACTGATTCTATTAATTTACTTGAAAGAATTTGTGTAACAAAGAAATGGGAGACGTGGAAATTAGGGAAGATGAATGCTACTGAGATCTGCATGCAACTGCAGTGATATATATTTTAGTGATTTATGTGTTCAAGTTACAGAAGAGGCAGGTCTGTAACAGCGAAGGCTCTGAAGAAGAATGGATAGGCCTGAAAGCTTTTCAGACTCAGCTGGCCTTTAAAGAGTATTACATCTCTCTACAAAGTTTGTTTAATTTAGGTGTTCAAGGTTTAAGTGCAGCAGCTGGGCTCCTACACTTGTCTTTAAGCTTAACTACACCAGGATTAGGTTTGAGTTAACTTTCGTTTTTCAAAATGGTATGCGCTGTATTTATTCAACTACATTCTTTGTATGTATTTACCAGGCAGTTAATAGAGTCTTTAATCCCCATTGAAAGTGGATTAAGTTCACTGTGGATTGAATTTGCATGGCACAATGTCTGTGTAGACCCCATTGTACTTGCCATTGTACATTGTCAGACAACTACCATCCTTCCCTCCTGTGCACCACACCAAAATTAGCATTTCTGTTTACCTGTGGTCTTCCACCAGTCTGCAGCTCCCCAGACCAGATCCTACAACCCAACTTTAATACCATCATCCAGCTGGGATCAGTACTTACACAAATGTCATCCTGCTGGAGAAGCATCCCATAGCAGCGTACCACAGTCAACAGAGCAGCAGTACAGCATGTCTGGGCAGGCAACCCGAGGGGACTCTTGCATCTCTTTTCCCCCCTCTGAGGACTGACAAAGGTGCTGGTGACCCCCCCAGAGATCCACTGGGATAAACAAAAGTTGGCAACAGGTATATAAAGGGATGTGTAGTACTGAACAAAAGGCAAAAAACATCACTCATGGAAAGTTATCTAAAGTCACAACAAAGCACATTGCTCCTAGTAGGATTAACAAAAAGCCAAGGGCAAAATACAGCCTACTAGCTGTTTGCACTGTGAGGAGCCCAGGGGGACAATTCCCCAGTTCCAGGTGTGGGATGGATGCTGAGGCTGGCCAGGGGTCAGAGGAGGGAGAGAGGTCTGTTTGGGGCCAAGCCACCCAAAGGGGTGGTTCCACCTGGTTCCCCCATGTGTGTCGCAACGCAGTGCAAGTGGAGTGCCACAACGCGCACAGCCAGCCATCGGGCGTACTGCAAGAGAGCAGTCCCACGAATGCTTGGCAACTGTTGGGGACGTCGTCCCTGCCCTGCATGCACCACAGCACAGAGCGAGGTTGGACACACCGTGCCGCAGGGACCTGGTCGCTGTAGAAGGGTAGTTATCGAACGAGTGAAAGGCAGAAGCACAGCCCCTGATGATACGACTCTTGGCCCTAACACTGGCAGACAAGCACTTAAACACCATTCCCTAGTTTCCAGGCTTCGCTAATCAGAAATCTGCCTGGTTTTCAGTGTAACTTTCTTTTTATTCCTTTGACTTCTACATGTCTCTTGACAGCTTCAGCAGTTCTCCCTGGCGTGCTTTCAAGGGCCTCCTTGACGCACCAGCCTAACTGAGTGGAACATATTTCTCTCCAATACAGCTATAACTCACGAACTTCACGGAGTCACGCTTGCTTTGCCCGGCTGTGAAGGAGAGTAAAGTCAAATGCATGTTGCTCTGCCAAGGTTGGCTCCTTCCAGAGTCCTCCCAAAACTACCTGCCAACCAAGGATTTCCAACTGGTTAAAGTCAAGACAAACCCTTCTTTCACTAGCTAGAAATATGGCATTATTTATTACCTTTTTTCTTTTTTCTCTGCCATCCTACCTTTTACCTACTCTTTTCAGGTAGAGCTGGGGTGAGTGAAATAAATTATGTTTGCAAAAAGGACATTTTGGTCTGGTTTGATTTTATTTATGTTTTACATGATTAAACTGTCATCAAGAATAATCAGCTCCTGAGTGACATCAGTAAATTGGCAAAAACATCTAGCCTAGAGCTGTTTCAGCCTCTTAGTGGGCTCTTTGCACCCCTGAAGTGTCTGAATCTTCCTTCCCCAGTGCTTGTAGCGTAAGACCTTTACCAGTGACTGACGTCAGAACATTTATTTTTGAAAGGAACTAAAATCACCCTTCCTTTACCTTCCTGTTTGCTCCAAATCTGGCTGGCCTCGAAAAGCAGCACAAAGCTCAGCTTGTTCTGACGGCAAAGCTAGCCCATGGGTAGCTGGAGGAGGCTGGCTAAACGGAAGACGACGAGAGGGACACCCAGTCCAGACTGGCTATCAGATCAACAGCTGCTGCAGAATTTAGTTTCCTTTTTTAGAAGGGAGATCATGGGAACTGTTGCTCTTCATAGCTTGCAGAGTCTTCAGCTCAAAAAACAGCCCTCCCTGGAGACCATACACTACATGCATCTCAAATGTCAGTCTGTGTACTTGTTTGGGTTTCTGCCACAGTCAAAAGCAGACTGCTTCCCTTTGCCTTGTGTAGGAAACCCTGAAACCTCCCTGCGCTGGGGTTTCTTGACTATGACTCGAAGTCATGGGAGGTAAGAAAGCCTGCAATAGTCCAGAAGGCTTACAGCTAGGTTATTAGAGGTACAGAACTAGGGTCACCCAGGAACAGGAGGAGAAATGACTAAGAGCCCAGCTCCCAAGATGCGCAGGCCCCTGTAAAGGCACGCAGCAGGTCTGATGCCTGTGTGGATGCCGGGCTCCTGGGCCACCGAGCACCAGAGCGTATCGGCAGAGGCTACTGCGATGGGTGGAGGCAGCTTTCCCACTGCTAGCTGCTGTTCCCCTTCATCCCAGAAGCCTGAATACCCCCTCACTGGGGAAGGGTGTCCATCTTGGGCAAACAGGATGCAACACGCGCCACTGCGGTTCCTTCCGAATTAGGGTTAATAATATCTATGAGACGCCTGGGGCAGCAGAGGGGAGGGGGACACCACGCGGCCTATGGCTAGAGAAGCTCACCTGATTAGTAAGGTGTCCACCTTTTCTTCAGATATCTACCATCACAGTATTCGCTCTTAACCAGTAACTCCTGTTTCTGCAGAAGGAAGGTGTTTGAGGCTGGAATTTATTTGCACTGAAAGCAAATGTTAAGGCACAGAGCCATCAGGAAACTTTGGTAACTGTAGCAGTTTCATGGGCTGCTGAGGAACTTATCTATAGCAACTGGGAAGCAACAGAGGGCACACATTCTTTCTGGCCATATACAGAGAGTTATATATAGTGTTATATACATATATATATAGAAAAGCCCTGTGGCTGCATCGGAAAGCCTCATCCAGACACAGCCCCAGCAGAATCCTGTCCTTGGCCTCACCAGAGCGCTGCATATTTGAGAGGCTATTTCAGAAGGATGCTGGGCAGCCCGCACAGCCTGGGGACAGCTGATCTGTACAATATGAACATACAGACCGGAGTGCAAATACGCCCCATCCTTCTAAGACTTCTGACTTGTTCTCAAGTGTCTTTGTACTATTTATAGACGCAACACCCAGTTCTCATCTATGTACCTTGCAGTTCAGGATGATGTTAAATAGTCTAACCAGTTAAAAACAGTCCTCAGTGGAAAGAATTTACAGGCCGAGGCAAACAAAAACTGATGTTGAGGTAGGATAAAAGAACTGTAGAAAACAGGCCAGCAGGGTCCTTAAGAGATCAGTGAGCCCCCACCCCGAGGCAGGAAAAGCTGTCCCTACGTCATTCCCGACTGGTTAGTCTAACCTGATCTGAAAGAACGCCACCGCTGAAAGCTCCACAGCCTCCTCGGGCAGCAGGTTTATATAGATGCCTTTCAGTGCAATGCTTCTCCACAATGAGTCTGAAATTCAAGGGGATTTTAATGGTATTATAAGCAATACAAAGGCTAGGTCCAAGCTTAAAATGTAATTTTAGCAAATGGGCCTATTTTTGTAAGACATGGTTATAATTTAAAGAAAGTTGCTAAATGAAGGCTCCTTAGACAGTATAACATCAAATAAATATAGCACTGTGCTTAGAAAAACCTTTAAATTATCTAAAAGTAGCATGCAATTTCCATAGGATTCCAGCATATTTAGCTTTCTAGACAGTATAAGTACCACTCTTTTAGGACTGGTGAAGAAAAACAAAAAGCTGTGCATTGGCTTCTCTTCTGTAATTTTCATGTCAAATTGTCTTTTAGCGGATTCTCCATAAAATGACAAGGTGGAATCCTTTCTCCCCTAGGGTGAGGCAGAGCCTCTGTAGCACACGTGCTGTAGCAAACGGGACATGGGGAGGGAGATCTGGATGAAAGCTGTGATGGCTCTTGCAAAAACGGCTTCCTTAACGCCTCCTGGCTATCTCACAGGAGTGCTTCAGCTCAGGACTGCTAGAACGCAATGCGTTTTTAACCAATGTACAGGGAAGCCTCAGGTCCTTGTGCAAGAGCCTGCTTATCATCACTTTCACAGGTTACTGTGGAGGCCATCTTCACCCACATACACAACTAAAACTGTCACAACACAGGCTTCCATATGCACATTTTCCTCCTTTTACTTGTAAATTTAACATAAACAACCCTATCTGGCAAGTTGAAAGCTCTCCTCTCACCACAGACGTTTTCCCTCCCCGGGCACATTTTGCAATTCTCAGAAAGAGAAGTTGCAAATTGTTGTCTCCACACAGATTTTCTTTTCCTTGATGAGCTTCCCCTTTTCATTCGAGACAGAACTTGTTCATTCCTCAAGATCCTGTTCAATCTCCAGTGGTAATGACCACTCACTTTTGATCAGCCTTGCCTGCAGGTAGAGAGTCTGTACTTACAGATGTATATTTTAAAGGATGCTCTTGCACTGTGGTGATCAAACAAGGCATTTCACCAGCGTCTCAAAAGCAAAGCAGTAGTATGAGATTTTGTGACCTTTGGTGGGTACAGCTTGGAGGTTTTCCGGTTCTGTGCCCTGAGAATATGCTCTGTGGGTAGCTCTTCACCCAGAACATGAGATTGGCTTGCAAAAACACAAGAGTGTTGCCTGCTTCCCAAAGCAACAGTTCCTTGAATTTTATTAAATTGGGAAGTTAATCAAGCAAATAAAGACCAGGAAGATCACAGCTTTAAAATGCTGGGCTGAAAGTATAATTCTAGGATATAGTGTAACCACTCGATCAAGTGATTTAATAATTATGTAGTACAGAGAGAACTACACCCTCCTCTCAGTCATCCAATGCTTGTCTAAAGTCAGGAGAACTGATTAGGTGGCACCTACTTGCAATAGCAAAGCAAGAAATTTTCAGAACCACCACAGTAGGTTACCTAGCAGCAACCCAAATAGACCAAGATTCTCATTCAAGTGATGAATTTCAGAGTTACTTCATATTTTAATTGCAGCAATAAGATCTGCTTACCTGGGGGTCTCCCCTCTTTCTCTTGTCCCAACAGCACGTCTTCTGCCTCAGGAAGGGCACCAACAGCAGTTCCTCCAAAATGTGAGAAGATGAGCTCTCCGCAAAAGCACTTGACTTTGGAAATCCTTGCTTCTTCCCCTCCACACAAGGTAATCCCAAAAAGAACGGCTAAGGACTCGCTGCAAAGACAAAATGTATTTTTCCGGGAACACTATTGTTTCTAAAGGATGTTTCATTTTTGATACTAGCTGGCATTAAGAACAACTTATTTGACAAAGCTGCTTCTGCTCCTCTTAGGTTGTCTTTTAATTTGTTACAGGGAATTAGCACTTGGAGCAAGACGGACCTTTATTATGTGTTTCAA